TCTCTCTCTCTCTCTCTCTCTCTCTCTCTCTCCTCTCTCTCTCTCTCTCTCTCTCTCTGCCCATCCCTCTCTGTCTTTCCATCTCCCTTTCTCACTCTCTATGTCGTTCCCTCTCCCTTTCTCACTCTCTATGTCGTTCCCTCTCCCTTTCCGCCTCTCTTTCCCCCTCTCTCCCTTGGATCTTTTTTTTTTTTTTTTCCTTTTCCCTTTTTTTAAGGTTTGTCTTTCGTTCTTGCTTTTGTTTCTTTTAGTATTCCGGATGCAGGGAGAGAGGGACATTCCTTTTGTTTTTAGCATTTTAGATGCGGGGTCATTTCTGTCCTCTGGGACATCCGTTAGCACTGGAATGATACAGAGACGATTAACATGTCCCCTGCGCAACGATGACACAAAAATGCTAAAATAGAGATAAAAAAAAAAAGAAAAAGATGCAGGGTCATTTGTCTGGGTCCAGATACTACTTTCTGTCATGAGGAGCACCACCAGGGTTGCGTTGTAGAAATCCGAGTGCGGCATTCGAGTATAAACTGCAGAGGTAGAGCCCGAGACAGATTGAGGCCAAGAAATAGCCCCTGACCCAAAGCTGATAGATATTATTCCCAAGTCCAGTGTTGGGCCTTGGACCTTGCAGGCGCATATCAAAACCCACTCATCCCTAAAATACCCTCTCAACCCAATGTGAGAATTTGAGTCTGGGATGGACCACTTCAATTGTCGTGATTGTTGGCTACCGTCTTCACCCGAATAGAACGCCCGGTCATTATCGCTCCATCTGGACCGGAAGTTGTGTCAAATACAGCTATAATGGCCGGGCGTTCTATTCGGGTGAAGACGGTTGTCAAACCACCATGTCCAGCTTGCGTTTCGATCACAAGTCAAGCAGTGAGACTGCCTGCACCAGCTTGGTCTTACGTTTTGGTAGCTCTTTCTGAAAAGAACGGGGGCTTTGTTGCTCCCTGAATCGCAGTCTTGAGAGGCAACCTCTGCAGCGGGCCGTGTGCAGGTTCCCTGGAAGGGAACGCTGAAGACGCTGACAGCCCCGTCGACCGCCGGACCCTGCTGCGCAACGAGGTGTTGTCCAAGAGTCGGGATGCTTGGGAATGCAGTATCAATTGGGCGGTAAGTCCCATCCAAGGCTAAATATGTGCGAGGGACCGATAGCRAAGAAGTACCGCGAGGGAAGGATGAAAAGAACTTTGAAAAGAGAGTTAAAGAGTGCTTGAAATTGCCGAGCGAGAAGCGGATGGAGGGAAGTCGTGCATTAGGGGTGGACGGTGACTGGGTCATGGGCTCCTTTGAGGGAGAGTGGGTAGTGGCAGCCGAGGAGCTATGTGGCCGTCGGCTCTATAGACTAAAGTGGGAGATTGCTGCAGGTATTCCCAATGACTTGAGGCAGATCCCGTTCGCTTGCAGGCGTCTATCTACCTTCGTCGAACGTCTAAGTATATTGACAGCAGCCATCAGCAGAAAACTGTATATGTACTCTGAATAAAAAAAAAGCTTTTCGAGTCTGAATGATATGGCAGAGTGACTGTAGGCTCGTGTGACACTGGCCTGCATTCCATTCTATTCAAAATGCGACTCTGCTTCCCTTTTTTTCTGCATGTGGCTCTCCAGTAACCTGTTGCAGGACACGTGTAAGTTTTCTAGGTCTCGATTCACTGAATGCAAGAGCAATCATGAGACTTTTTTTTTTTTTTTTAATTGCAATCCTGTATCTTATTTAGATTGCAAATGATGTTTTGTACGTCTGCAGATGTTGGAGAACGATGTGGAGGCGATCGGGGTTCAAGAAGCAGAGGCTATGATTGTGGAGGCATATACAGCACTGCTTTTGGCCTTTTTGTCCCGTGAAAGGTATGGAGCATTCTTAATTTCTTATCTATTCATTCAATTTCCTTGCGATGAAATGGCAAGCTGGCCTTGTTTCCTTGTTGAGGATTTCGGTCGCCGACTACGGATTCTCTTGGCACCATTGAGGTCTCAGTGCTTGATTGTGCTCTGGCCTCCCTCCGGGGTTACCGTGGCCTGGTGGTCGTGCGCAAATACGTTTTCCCCACACCATGGAGTTTGGTGTGTGTGTGTGTGGGGGGGGGGGAGTATAAGTTTTTTTTCAAGGAGTTTGGGTAAGTTTGTTAGTTTCTCCTCTCAGCAAACTTTGCCAAGTTGATGGCGGCTCCACCTGTTTTCAATTTTGGTTGGGGCCGCCAGGCATTGTGGTCCAGCATCTCCGGGCCTCGGAAATTTCAGTAGGCGATGAAAAGGAATCCTAACCACTGAAAACTGGGTCTACAAGGTAACCCATTGTGGGGAGATGGCTGCATTCACTTTCTGGCCAGTCGTGCCATTTATGAGATCCCCTTCGAGCTTGTACTCGTGTCAATTGTGTTATACCTCTCCAAGGGAATGGACTGCACTCGTACTTGTCGTGCCATTGGTTGGAGGAGACCACTACGTGTAAGTGCCAGTGATATTGGACTTGCACTTAGTATAGCCGGCATTTATCGCATTGTAGAAACCCTCATGCTAGGTACAAAGAGTGCATAGCGAAGGTGAAATGAATTAACACTGTTCAGGGTAAGTTGAGTACGGAGTGAAGCAGCAGCTTTAGCTGCTGCATGTTCTATTCTGAGTTGCATGAAATCTGATTGCATCCAGATTCGAACTTGGGTCTGTATTTCAACAGTTCATCGGTGTACCAACTAAGCTTGCATGAAATCGTTCTGGGGACTGAATCCTTTTTATGGCTTGCTTAGACTATCAAGAGTCTCAACCCTTCAATGACATTTATTGATTCTGACTACCTTTAGTTGCACCTAAAGCTCCTTTCAGTGCTAAAGCTTCTTGAGCACCAACTGAAGGTCCCTTAGTATCAGCTTTCCAGATGCTTCTTGATCAGTAACTAAGATTAAAGGTTTGCACCTGTTTGGAAAAAAAAAAAAAAAAAAAAAAATTTCTCAAAGATACGCAGACAGTGGTGGATGGCAGCCTCTACACTGCCTGTGATGGAAGGTTACGTATGCCGACTCGAACACTGCCTATAGAAGTTTTTTCTAAACAAGTAGATAAGGCCCGAGGAGATGGAAATAATCGGCTTGTAGTTATGAATCCGGGCTTTCTGGCCGTAGGCCGATCCGTGCATGCAGCATGTACAGAGTCGAACCTGCACCGTCATCCACAAGAGCTGACTCTCACATCCAACTACATCCATGATACTGACTTTGAAACTGGAACCGTATCGATCGTGATATCAAACCCGCCCCTGCAAGGCTGTAGTGTCCTGCTACGGAAGCTCCACGAATCGCAGTTCTCACACACTGCGCTCCAATCCAGCACGTGACTCTTCACTCCTCTACGTTCAGGTCCTGCGGAATTTCATTACCTTGGGTTTATTTCCATGACCAGGTAATGCAAGTTATGCAACCAGCTCCAGTTCCAGACCCTGCATATTTGTATGCTTGCCTACTCGCTAGTCTTTTGCCTGTGGATTACGCTGGAGGGCGCTGGTAGCCTACTGTGACTGATACACTTGTACCAGTTGTTTACAGTTGCCTGTGAACTGCACTGTTGTTTCTCTACCTCATCGTGGAAATTACTGCTCCAATCACGCTTAACACTCTAGTGTATGCCTCTGTGAAAACATCGTCACATCCCTGTGTGGTTCACCTGGGGGGGCTTACCTATCTTAACCTCAAGAGGCGTACAGCGATGCAGAGCCTATGGTCACGAGTAGGACGCCAAGTATCAGGTGTGTCTCTCCCTATATGTTGCAATTGGCCTGTTGAAGCACTGTTAATCTCTTTCCTGCCTTTGTGCTTCCGTAGTTCTCTTTCTGCTTCACTGTCAATCTGTTTAGCATTCATCTAATGTGCTGTCGTCGCTCACATTGTCCGAGAAGCACCATAGGCAGGTGCTATAGCAGGAGGAGTAGGGAATAAGCTGACCAGGACGCCGGACAAGGAAAGTAGAAAGGAGAATCGAGAAAGGAGGAAGAAGGGACGTCAGAGATTGTAACATATTTCAGTCTGGGGAGTTTTGTGTGGGCTGACTATCGTCTTCACCCAAATAGAACACCCCCCCCCTCCGAGTCATATATTGCTGTATGTGGACTGAAAGCTGCCCCAAATATAGTTATCATGACTGCACGTTCTATTCCAGCGACGAAGACGGCAGTTATTCCTATGATAATCTTGACGCCGGACAAAGACTTCGTCCTGTAAGGACAAATTTGAGGTGCCAATAAGAAGTCAACATAATGCTATTAGATTGGGTCTCTTGTCATATTTACTCAGGAACTATCTATAATATTGAATACTGTAGATGCTTTGTGTTAGTTTTCTGTGCATGTGCTGCTTCACGTTGTCAGTAATGGGAAGTGGCTTGACATCTGGGCATGAAGAGTGGTGTGTTGTTTTAGCGAGTGATTTGCTCTGGAGATGTGAGAAGGGGACTATGTTATCAGAGCCAGCGTATCCAGGCCCAAATATCGGAGTCCCATTTCACATAACTTTCCGGAAACTGATTTCAATAGTGAAGAATGTGAAGAGGGAGAAAACATTTCTAATTTTCACATACAAATGAGCAGATCACATCACCATACCCCTTGGGAAAGTAGCTGCAGATGCTATCTCTCGAGATTCAGAACTACTTCTCACTCCTCTCTCTCTCTCTCTCTCTCTCTCTCTCTCTCTCTCTCTCTCTCTCTCTCTCTCTCTCTCTCTCTCTCTCTCTCTCTCTCT